GCAGTTCAAATGGCTTTGCAGTCTGGCACTTTAACCCACAGTGCCACACTAATAGTATAATAAAATTGTTTTAGAGGGTATTGTAAAACAACAACAACAACAACAACAAAAAAAAACTTTAAAAAACAGATAATAAAAGGCAGAGCTATATACAAAATTTGTTGTTGCTGTTGTTCAGTGCTATAGAATTGATTTTGATGTATGATACTATCAGTTTTTACTGAAAGAGCCCTAGTAGTATAGTGGATTATGAACTGGGCTACTTACTTATCACAAGGTCAGTAGTTGAAATCTACCAGTCTCTCCATGGAGAACGATGAGGCTTTCTGTTCCTGTAAAGACTGTTGTCTCAGAAACCCTATTGTCTTTATGAGTTTGGAACTAGTCCACAACACACAATCAACCAACCAATTTATACACCTTCCACATTATTTTTCAGAGCACTTATTTAATTATTGACAGCAGTAGTTATTTGAAATTTTGCAGTTCACATTTAGAGATTTAATAAGATGCAGATAAATCATTTAAACTATTCATGAATGTTCAATCATAATTAATATGGTTGGGTTATGAATACTGGTTTACAGTTATTTTAAACAGAAATGCAGCTTTCTAAATGGCTAATACAAAATGGAGTTTTGTGGCATTGTAGGATAAGCACCACCAACTGCTACAGGGTTGCTATCAGTTGGAATCAATTCAGTGGTACTTAACAGTAACAACTTTAAAAGACGAAAGTTTTTATACAGACATATGTTCAGAAAGTTAAAATAATTTATGATTTAAAGGTTAGGAAAAAATGGAAGGTATGCTTACAGAAAGTTACTATTGCCTTATCAACAAATAATTAAAAATTAAATTTTATTTGATCTGTATTGTTTATATATTTTTTAATTAAATGATATGTTGAGTATAATACATTAAAATATAACTATTAAAATATAAAATAAAATATAATTAAAAAAGACTTGGCTGCATCTAGCACTCAGATCTTGGTTTTTCTTCACTAAAAGGAACTAGCGCTCCTTAGAGAAATGATTGATGCCCTGGCTTAGAGCCTGGAACATCTTGTTATGCCTGAAAGTAAGAAAGTGTGCAATAAATAAATAAATAAGTAAGTAAATAAATAAATAAAACAATGGCAACATGTCATCTGGATGTAAGAGACATTATTAAGAGGCTCTCCCCTTAGCCAAATGTGATATAATTTGAGCCTCAAAATAATTAAGAGCAGTAATTATAAAGCACTGGAAAATAATGTGAATCCTGGAGACATTGATAATAATACATATATAAACATATACATACATAGGTGCAGGAAAAGAGAGGGCTTGAGGGCCAGCTAATCAAAGTGGAGAGAGTATTTGAACTGGAAAACCATAATTTTGCCACCATCATATCATAGTAAACATTAGCATCACAAGTATAGACTAAATACAGGGAAGAAACTTCGGTGAGTAGCAGGATATTTGCATGTTCATCAGTTATCTGCCCACAGGTTAATTATAATTATTGACTTCTAAGTTAAAATAGTACAGCCTCGAAACCCTGTACAGGGTCACTTTGAGTCAGAACTGACTCCACGGCACATAACAACAACAACAACAAGGTTAAAATAGTAACTAAAGAATAGAGAAATAAAGGAGCACCTGTTGTAGGTCATCAAAATGAACATCATCAATGAGAAATATATGGATTCCGTGTGCCTTCTGATATGATACCCTGAGAAAGACAATATCATTTATGTCCTCTTTTGGTCAGGAATACATTACTTGAATCCAATCATGAGGAAATATCAGACAAGCTCAAAATTATGAACATTCATCTAAAAAAAATAATAAAAGAAATTCATTCTTCAAAAATGCAGTGTTACAATAGTCAGAGCTCTGGAGCATAGTGGTTACAAATTGGGCTGCTAACCTCAAGGTCACCAGTTCGAAACTACCAGCTGTTCCGCAGGAGAAAGATGAGGCTTTCTGCTCCTGTAAAGATTTGTAGCCTCGGAAACCCTGTACAGGGTTGCTGTGAGTCTGAACCGACTCCACGGCACATAACCACCACCAAAGAGAACTCCCTATTAGATGAGACTAAATACATAGTGAATGCATAATCCACAGACTGAATCATCTACAGAAAAATTACTGGCTTGATTAACAAAACTTTAATGCAGGTTGTAGATTTAAGTATTTGTTTTGACATTAATTTACCAAAATTCACCACTTTGCTCTGGTTATATAGGTGAGTTATTTTGAAGACATTCACATTGAAATATTTGTGGAGAATGAACCATAAAGGATTCAGCTTACTCTCAAATGGCTTAGAAAAACAAGTGTATGTATGTGTAAGGAGAAAGACAAGTGATGAAGTAAATGGAGCAGAATACTAACACGTTTCTAGACAAGTTGTATACAGGTGTTGTAATTTATTACTGTAAGTTTAAAGTATTAACATGAGAAGTTAATATAAAAATGAGTACACATGTATGTTTCTCTTATTGCCTCAAGTTGCTAATATGGCTTTAATACTTAATTGAATTAAAGAAACTAATATGTATTGCTTATAGATGTACACATTGATTTTTAATTTCTTTTAAATAGTGCTGGGCCTAAAGGAGACAACATATATGAATGGAGATCAACTATACTTGGTCCACCAGGTTCTGTATATGAAGGTGGTGTGTTTTTTCTGGATATCACATTTTCATCAGATTATCCATTTAAGCCACCAAAGGTAAGACTCTAGAAGTACATTAGTTTATATTTATCCTTCTCCCCTAAAATTAGTTTATTGCAGTGGTTAATTATTGATGTGATTTTTATTTTATGTTTTTCATAGATTGATAGGAAGACTCTTAAATAACCAATAATTTAAAAACTGAAAGTAATTGGTCTCTGCCTTTTACAGAGAGCTCAAATTAACAGAATAATCGCTTAATTGTTGATTCCAAATAAAACTATATATTACCTTGCATGTTAATAAAGCAAATTAATATTGGACTTTTTATCACAATGAGAAAACATAACCTATAAACTTCCCTTAAATATTGGGGTATGTAGCAGCTTGCAGAAATTAAAGGTTAAGTAAGTTGAATTTTCAGCTAAATGGTTCATCTTTATAGACAGAGAAGTAGAAAACATAACATGGAGGAAGAACACTAATAGTAATTAGTATACTCATTCTGTGCTCTCAGTCGGTAAAGTGTAGTAATGGGAATTAAGGGTGACTGAGCAACTGCTGCTTTCTTGTTGTCTTGTTCCTTTGAAGTGTGAATTTGATGGAGAACGAGAAGGGCCTTGGAATGACTGGTAATCATTTTGCAGTGCTTAACCATATTAGTTACTGAATGTCTTCTATTTCCCATTCTAAAATGGTGGTACCGACAGGTAAGATTTGCCAGAATTAATCCTGAGCATCATTATTACAGAGAATTCTGACATGCCACGGAAAAGTGTACAATTGAGTAATAAACCCTTAGTTATGAAATTATGATTAAATTTTTATCTTTTCAATATAGTTATATTTATTATACTTGCACTGGACTGAAAAGTTGGTTTGAATGGCGGTTCAAGCTCAGCAGCCATTTCTCGGAAACCCTATACAGGGTTGCTATGGGTCGTAACTGACTGAATAGCACTTAACAGTACTATTTAAAATCTGTATAGCAACCTAATGCTACTTTGTGTGTGTCTGTCTGTTTGTACATACAGAGAATTTTAAATGCTTTATATACATAGACTTTTAAATGTTTTATATATATATGTGTGTATATATGTGTACGTATGTTTGTATTCCTGCTTAGAGCTTATTTTTTTTTAAGAAAACATAACAAAGTAACAGTTTCACTTTGTGGTGTGTACCTCAGATTGCCGATACAAAGGTATGCTACCCTCAAGTGTTTTTACTGTGATTTTTTGAGAATGCTTATTACCATGTGATCCAGAGTTCTGCTGTGGTGTTGTAGATTAATGCACTGGACCGTCCGCTCCTTGGAAATCCTGTATGTGTTTGCTGTGAGTTGAAACCAACTTGAAATCACTTAGCAAAAAACAACACTACAAGATCTTATCAGAATTGTGGATACTTAAATAGTGATCTCATTTACTGTTCCCAGGTCTGCAAATATTGTGTTGCCAAATTAAAGAAAGAGATACAACTTTTGTGTTAATATCACCACTAATTGTATTCACATTAAAAATGATGCATTACTTGTTATACTGGTACCACTAATTTCTCTCTTTCAAAAGTCAAGTTTCTTACAGAAAAAAGTAAACTATAGCTAGTAATAGTGAAATTTGTATGCTCATGTCTTGTTTTTTAAGATTGGAAATAGTTTTATCATGTTGAAGATTTCGCAGAGTATTTTGTACAAAATTACTTAATGTGAAGGGGAAATTACTGAAGGAAAAGACACCTGTTTTAGCACATTTCAGTAGAAATTGACTAGTATTTAAAGGGTTTCAGAATCTGGTTCTTTATTTATTATAATCATTTTATTAAATACAATTGTTATCTATAAATTTAGTATGTTGAATATTTTTGCTGAAATCTCTATTTTAATTTTCGAATCTGTATTGAACAATCTTTTTACTAAGATGTCTTATGTAATATTATTAAGTGTTGAGATCTGCAGTTGGACAAGTGAAAAACAAGATTTGTATTATGATGTTGGGCATAATATTCTGTACAGTACTCTGAAGTTCGGATGAACTGTCAAACTTTTGAAGAATAATTGAATTCTCGTCTGTTCATGGATACTATTCTGATTGTTAATTGTGTTAATAGCTGAAAGGTTTCAAAGTTAACTATTTTGTATTCCTAAATTACTTAATTGTAGCAGTTGTGAGGCTGGGGCACGGTCAGGTAGTATTTCATTCTGTTGTGCACCTGGTCGCTATGAGTCCAAGCTGACTTGATGGCACCTAACAACAACAATACTCCTTTATGCCTGTTAAGTAGCAGTTGTCAATTATCTGGACATATTGTCAATTATCTGGACATATTTTATTCCTATATTCCAGAGCAGCACTAACAGAACTATAATATGATTTACCACATGTATATTTGAATTTTCTGGCTACCTTAATAAAAGGTAAAAGAAATTGGTAAAATTAATTTTTAATAACATATCTAACCTAATACCGCTAAAATATTGCCATTTCAACATGTAATCAATATAGAAACATTAATGACATATTTTCCATTCTGGTTTTAGTGCTAAGCTTTTAGAATGTGGTATATCTTTTACACTTTTAGTCCATCACAATTTTACTTACCACCCTGGACAGAGCAGTTCTGAAGACTCTTACCCTTTTTTCTTCTACTAGACCAGAAGTCTCTACATTTTAAAAAATCATGTAATCCCTCACCCAAAACAAACTGTACACTTTTGAGAGTTTAGTATTTTCTTTCCAGACTTCATTTTGGAGACTACATTACAGTGCTTGTTCCAAGAGATCATTAACTGTGCCTTTGTTTCTTTGCAACTCTAATTCACTGATTACCTACCCAGTTAGTATAATAAGTGTTTGTGGTGGTTTCAGACTCTTTACTCAGTATTTATTCCTTTGATTTCTCTTGTACATTTCAGGGATATATTTGTTTTCTTTAACCACTTGCTAAACATCTTCGTTATTTTCTTTTACTGTCTTAGTTTAACAAGACAGTGAACTAGCTGTGTGACACTGGAAAGCTGAGAAATAAAAATGCAGGTAGTACTGATGAGTTCAATAACTATCCTCTGACTCCTTCTTCAGTATTTTCTCACATATGATAAGAAATAGCTGAGTGGGTGCTAGCATTTTCTACTAAGCAACTAATGTAACATTCATTTGTGTTTTGGTTTTTAAGAATTAATCTTCTTTTCCTTTTTAAAATCTTTGTCCCCCAAACATTTCTGTTCTCCCTCACTTTGTGTCTTGTATATTCAGGTATATGTGTGTTTATGTTTGTACACTTGCATATGCATACATACGTGTTATTGTTAGGTGCCACTGAGTCAGTTCTGACTCATAGTGACCATATTTACAATAAAAGGATAGACTGCCTGTTCCTGTGCCATCTTCACAATTGTTACTCGTGAGTAGTTTATGAATTGAAGTGATGCTGCTAATCTGATGTTCCATCTCATTGTGATCCTCCCTATTTTTTTTTTTTTGCTGATTTTTGTCTTTATCAAGCACTGGACCTTCCTGACAACATGTCCAAAGTATGACAGACAAAGTATCACTATCCTGGCTTCTAACTGCTTTCTGGCTGTACATCCTCCAATATAAATTTGTTTGTTGTTCTGGCAATACATGGTACTCTTAATATCCTTCACCAGCACCATAACTCAAATGCATTGATTCTTCTATGGTTTTTATTATTCATTGTCCAGCTTTCACATGCATATGAGGCTTTTAGGGTAGGGCATACCTTAGTCCTCAAAGTGACATCTTTGCTCTTGAGCAGTTTAAAGAGGTCATAGCAGTAGTAGATGAGCTTAATGTAATATGTCTTTGATTTCTTGACTGGTGCTTTCATGGCGTTGATTTTTGGATACAAGGAAAATGAAGTCTTTGACAACTTCATTCTTTTCCCCATTTATTACAATGTTATCTGTTGGTCTAGTTGTGAGGATTTTTGTTTTCTTTACATTGAAGTCCAGTGCATACTGAAGGCTGAAGTCTATGATCTTTATCATTCATTATTAAAGTTTTTCAGTCCGCATCTCTTCCAACAAGGTAGTGTCATTTGCATATTTCAGGTTGTTGATGAATCTTCCTCCAGGTCTAATGCCACGCCACGATCTCAGATTATTTGCTCAACATACAGATTCAATAAATAATGGTGAAAGGATATAACCCTGGCACAAATCTTTCCTTTCCTTATTTTAAATGATTAATATCCTCTTGTCTGTTAAAACGACCGCCTCTTTCTATATATAGGTTCCTCACAAACACCATCGAGTCTTCTGGAAAATCCTTTCTTCACAATGTTTTCCATAGTTTGTTATGATCCTCACAGTTAAATGGCTTTGCACAGTCAATAAAGCACAAGTAAGCATCTTTCTGGTATTCTCTTTCAGGGAAGATCCTTTTGACATGTGCAGTGATACCTCTTATTCTTCATTTTCTTCTGAATCAACTTGAATTTCTGGCACCTCCATGTTGATGTAGTGCTGCAACCATCGTGAATTATCTTCAGCAAAATTTTACTTTCATGTGATAATGATATTGCTCAATGATTTCTGCATTCCTTTGGTTCACCTTTCTTTGAAATGGTCACAAAGATGTATCTCTTCAGTCAATTGGCCAGTTAACTATCCTCCAAATTTTTTGGCATAGGTGAGTGAGCGCCTCCAGCACTGCATCAGTTAGTTGAAACATTCTAATTTGTATTCCTTCAATATCACTGGTTTTTGATCATATACTACCTCTTGGAATGGTTGAACACAGTCCAGTTCTATTCAGTACAGTGACTCTGTATTCCATCCATCTTCTTTTGATGCTTCCTATATACAATGGGCTCAAGCATGGTAACAATTGTGAGGTTGGGCCAGGACTAGGCAGTGTTTCGTTCTGTTGTGCACAGGGTCGCTATGAGTCAGTACCGACTTAATGGCACCTAACAACAACAACAACAACAACAACATACTGTTTAGTATTTTTCTCATAGTATTCAACATTGCAAGTCAAAGCTTGAATTTTCTCTTCAGTTCTTTGCAGCTTGAGAAATGCTTAATTTGTTCTTCCCTTTTTTTTTTTTTTTCTAACTCCACATTTCACTAAAATACTTTGTCCTTTTGAGTTACCCTTTGGAAATTTTGGTTCTGTTTTTAGACTTCATCATTTCTTAAGTCACTTTAGCTTTTCAGTGTTTATGAGCAAGTTTCAGAGTTTCTTCTGATACCCATTTTGGTTTTCTTTTCTTGTCTTAATTACCTTTTGCTTTCTTTATGTATGATGTTCTTGATGTCATCCCACGACTATTCTGATCTTTAGTCATTAGTGTCTAATGCATCAAATCAAATCTGTTCTTGAGATGGTCTCTAAATTCAGGTGGGTTATACTCTATCATATTTTGGTTCGTGTCGCTTGTTTTAATTTTCTTCAACTTCAGCCTGAATTTCCATATGAGCAATTGATTATCTGTTTCACAGTCTTCCCTTGCCTTGTTTTGGCTAATACAGAGCTTCTCCTTCGTCTCTTCCCACAGATGTAGTCAATTTGATTCCTGTGTATTCCATCTGGTGATGTCCAGATATGTAGAGTTGTCTTTTATGTTGAAAATGTTGAAAAAAGAAATTTACAATGAATAAGTTATTGGTCTTTCAGAATTCTATTATGGTATCCTCCAGCATCATTTCTGTCATCAAGTTTATGTTTTCCAACTACTGATTCTTACTCTTTGTTTCTAGCTTTTGTATTCCAGTCACCAGTAATGAATGATCAGTGTTTGATCAATTTCATCTTCATTGGCTTTAGTGGTTGGTGGCTAAATTTGAATAGTAGTGGCGTCCCTTGTAGACATATGAACAGTAATAATATTCTATCACAGACAGCATTGTACTTCAAGATAATTGTGAAATCTTTTTGATGATGAATGTACACCATTCCTTTTCAATTTGTCATCCTGGCATAGTAAACCATGTGATTGTTGGCATTCCAAATGGTCAATACCAGACCATTTCAGCTCATTGAAGCCTAGGTCTTTGATTTAATTTTGACTACTTCCAGTTTTCCTATATATTCATACTTTGTATGTTATGTATGATGTTCCAGTTATTAATGGATGTTTGCAGCTTTTCGTATCATTTTGAGTTGTGCCCCATCAGCAAATGAAGGTCCCGAGAGCTTTGTCCCACCCATGTCATTAAGGTCAATTCTGCTTTGATCAAGTAGCTCTTCCTAGTCATATTTTGAATGCCTTGTATCTTCTGGCAGTATATCAAACAATGTTGTCCTGCAATTTACACATTTTTCAGTGGCTAACCCTTCAGAAGTGTTCCACCTCTCCTTCCTGGTCGGTCTTACTCTGGAGACTCTGCTGAAACCTGTCCACCATGGGTGACCCTGCTGATATTTAAAATACTGGTGGCATAGCTTTTAGCATTAGAGCAACACACAAACCACCATGTATCACAAACTGACAGATGAGTGGTGGCATATATACTTAACAATATCATTCATATTAGGTTAAACAAATGAAATTAACCACTCACTGTGGTTTAATATCAATATAGCTCTCTATGCTGGGTTGAAACAAAACAAAATGTTAAAAACATTTACTTCTTTTATTACTTAAACATTAAGAAAAATTTTTAGTTAAATGATGTGCTATTTAGTATTATTAATGATGTATTCTGTTGTTTATATTGATGAGAGTTAGTTGTAAATAAAGCATTGGTTTTCTTTTTGTTTTTTAATATGACTACCCTTAGGTTACTTTCCGCACCAGAATTTATCACTGCAATATCAACAGTCAGGGAGTCATCTGTCTGGACATCCTTAAAGATAACTGGAGTCCTGCTTTGACTATTTCAAAGGTTTTGCTGTCTATTTGTTCACTTTTGACAGATTGCAATCCTGGTAAGCAAATGTTTATTAATGCATGTAATGAGGTTACCCAAACCAGTCTACACCCACTCCTCACTTACCAACATGCTTTATTTCTATAGACCAGGTCCTTAATATACAAATTGGTTTTATGTTAAAATGGAGGGTGACTTTGTCATTACTACTTAACTGAAAAATTGTATTATTATGTAACTGCCTAACCTCTGAAAATCATGGCCCAGCCAAGCTGAAACTTAACCTTAACCATCACACCCATTGTTACTCTCACCTTGCACTCTGATATTTGTTACCTACATTGTTAATACACTAAATAGTTAGATAGTAGATAGTTAGATAATTGTTTTATACGTGAAATGTAGTTGACAAGTGAGAAGTAGTTGTATGCTTTTGCTCAACTTAAACATAGAATGAGAACTAAATGCTATTGGTAGAAGAGCAATGTATTAAGTTTTTCAATGAAATTATTAATATAATTTCATTTAGAGTAGACCAAAAGTCTCTCGAAACTCCTTATAGTTTGCTGTTGGCACACTACTCTCCAATTATTTTCTTCCATCATTAGTCTATTTTCTAAATCATTTAGCTGTACAAGCAAAGCAGTGTCTCTGACATTTGTACCTTTTTTTCTCACCTGTTCTGTGTTGCCATGTATTTAATTTAAAGCAAGCACTTAATAATGTGAGTACTTTCTGGGTTAATGATCAATTACAGTTGTCTCTCATTATAAAGGAGCTCTGGTAGGCGAAATGGTTATGAATCAGGCTGCGAACCTTAAGGTCAGCAGTTCGAAACTACCAGCTGTTCCGTGGGAGACAGATGAGGCTTTCTGCTCCCGTAAAGATTTACAGCCTCGGAAACCCTTCTATAGGGTTGCTGTGAGTAGGAACCGACTCCATGGCACATAACTACAGAAATATCATTATATATGTAATATACATAAGTGTGTGTGTGTGTGTGTGTGTGTGTGTATGTATATATAAGTAGTAGATATAAAAATCATTACTGATGAAAGAGTTGGATTAGATTATGATTGTATCAATTCACATTTTTTTTTTTTTTTTTTTTTAATTTAGAAAAACCCCTAATTGCCACATTACAGATTTTGACATGGGTATATAACTGGTGTACTGTTTAAGCCTGGGATTTCATATATACTGTTTTGCTTTGTGGCTATCTTTAAAGAAGTTGACTTTAAGAGAAGAAAGAAAAACAAAAGCTGAATCACCATAGGCTATAACACTGTTACTTTAGGCTCAACAAGTATGCATGTGACATGAATAGGTACATAGGTTGGTTGGTTGATTTATTTAGAAGCAAAAGATTAGAAAAACCTGAATGAGACTATCAATAGAAGATACATAGGTATTAAAAAGAATACATATGCTTATATGATTTGGGGGTGGGGGGAGAGGATATGACGAAGACAATGTTATTATGCTGCTGTTCAGTGCTGTTGAGTCAGTTTCGACCCATAGCAACCTTTATAGGGTTTCTGAGGAGCAGCTGGTGAGCTTGAACTGTTGACCTTACAGTATAAACTGAATTTTGTAACCCAGGATATTAACCCACAGTGCCACACCAGAACTCCTTAGATGCCTTTGAATGTGTATATTATCTTTGGAAAGAGTCTTGGTGTGGCAAAGTAAGGATAAGCACTGGACTGCTAACCACAAAGTTGTTGCTTCAAATCCAGGGAAAGAAATGGACAGTGGTGGTTTGCCATGGAAGATAAATTTCTGAGTCGGTAGAGTTAAGGGGGGGGGGGGGTTTGCTATTATTTTTCACTGGCTAGTCCTGTCTTGGCATTGTGGGTTAATGTGCTGGACTGTAAAATCAGTTTAAACTGCACACTCTGCGGTTCAAGTTCACCATCCGCTCCTTGGAAACCCTGTACAAGGGTTGCTGTGGGTCAAAACCAACTCGACAGCACTTAACGATTGTTTACTAAACTTCAGGTATTACTTCTTGAAAAGTAAATGAAATTCAGAGCTAAAACTTCTAGTTCAAATTCTGCTTAAAATGAAATAGCAATGTGGTTAGTGATTAGATTAATTAATTTTACTGCATAGAATGAAATTTCATTCCTGATAACAATAAGTTAATTTTTTTAAATCTAAAAATTTAAATCACATTTTAAAATATCCGTAAGGTAGAAATTTAATCACTTAGCATGTGTCCATTGTTGAGTAAAATACCAAAATTAAAAAAAAAAAATTTTGTTTGTTGAATTCATAAAATTTTTATTAGAAAACACACATTTATTAACTGAGCATTGATTTTTTTAGCATGGAGACAGTTCTAATTTTTGTAATTAAAAAATAGAAATGATTTTGCTAAACATTTGTATTTTTAAAAATATTAAAACTGTACCTCTAGATATACCACATATCTTAATCATCTTTCTGTTTTTCCAGCGGATCCTCTGGTTGGAAGCATAGCCACTCAGTATTTGACCAACAGAGCAGAGCATGACAGGATAGCCAGACAGTGGACCAAGAGATACGCAACATAATTCACATAATTTGTATGCAGTGTGAAGGAGCAGAAGGCATCTTCTCATGTGCTGCAAATCTTTATAGCCTTTACAATACGGACTTCTGTGTATATGTTATACTGATTCTACTCTCTGCTTTTATCCTTTGGAGACTGGGAGACTCCCTAAAAGGTAAATGCTATCAAGAGTAGAACTTTGTAGCTGTAGATTAGTTATGTTTAAAACGCCTACTTGCAAGTCTTGCTTCTTTGGGATATCAAAATGTATTTTGTGATGTACTAAGGATACTGGTCCTGAAGTCTACCAAATATTATAGTGCATTTTAGCCTAATTCATTATCTGTATGAAGTTATAAAAGTAGCTGTAGATGACTAGGAATTATGTCATTTGTATTAAACCCAGATCTATTTCTGAGTATGTGGTACATGCTGTTGTGAAAATGTTTTACCTTTTACCTTTGTCAGTTTGTAATGAGAGGATTTCCTTTTACCCTTTGTAGCTCAGAGAGCACCTGATGTATCATCTCAAACACAATAAACATGCTCCTGAAGGCTTAGTTTCCTGTCGTAATATTTTAAGTCAGTCTTGTTAAAGGCGTGTCTGAGATGATTGTTGATGAAATAACATGCAAAGATGAAGATTGATTAATAAGGACCTGTATAAATAAATGTATTACTACATTGAAAACATTAAAAATCTTATTTAATGTGTAGTTTTTTTCTTTAAGACTATTGAAAGCTAAAATATAATAAGTTTAAATATGCAAAATTAGATTTTGAACCATTGGTGCCAAAAACACATAAAGCTGTATTTTTGCTTTATTTTTATGATACTATCTGAGTTAATGAAATGCTACAAATTTGAGTTGAAAAAATACGAAATTCTGCCTCATTCAGGATGGAACATTTTGTTTCCAAATTGGTGATTTCTGTCCAGAGTTGGGCAATATTGTCATATAATAACCTTGGTGTAACTATTCTGTGTCTTTGGTGTAATGTTTACTTGGTTTTTTATCTTTGTTTTGAATCCTCATGGTGTGCTAAGTTATCATTCACTATGACACATGGTCGCAGATACAGCTAGACGGAGCCTTGAAGGGAGACAAGAACTGTGGAGTACATGCCAATGTGGCATTATTTCTCAAGTGAAAAACACAACGTCACCTTCTAAAATTTTCAGAGTTTAAATTTATTTCTGGTTATATTTATTTAAATATTAGATTTCTTATAGGAGTTAGAATTACTTTGTAATACTCAGATTTTGTAATCAGTGTAAATGTGCGGATTTTTTCTAAGACATGATAATTGAGGTGGTTCTTTGGTCATGTATTAAGATTGTGAAATTTGGAAAAAATTATTTTTTCAGTTTTAAATGTACTAATAGAATACAATATTAAAATTTATAGAATGGAATTACTAACAAAAATGCTTCCATGATGATAAGTAAAACATGTAAAATGACGTATACAGTTACCCTCCATATCCTCAGGTTCCGCATCTGTGGATTCAACCAGCTACACATCAAAAATATCCTGGGAATTGGCGCCTACAAAGCAATTAAATGGTCAAAGTAACCCCTCAAAGACTAAGAGGGAGCTGAAAATACTGTTTACACTGCATTAGACTTTATCAGTAATCTGTAAATGATTTAAAGTTTTTCAGGAGGATGAGTGCAGGTTACATGTAAATACTATGACCTTTTTTATAAAGTACTTGAGTATCCACAGATACAGAGATCCTGAAGCCACTCTCTGGTGGATCTTGAGGAGCAACTGTACTGTTACAGAGTTATGGACTCTACTTCAGTATTTGTCAGTAGAAGCCTCAAATCAGGGTAAAAATAAAATCACAGTCTTGTGTACTCATTTCTCCCTTAACCTCCAAACATATCCTTCTCTGTAACAAAGGAACACCAACAAAAAGGTACAGTTTAAAAAATTTCAAGCTTCAAGCCAATAAAATCTCTGAGCCATAACTGTTTAGGTGGTAACTAATAATCCGTGATGAAATTCTAGTCAGTGTGATGAAGGTAGAGATTTTTTATGCAAGGATTTCTAGGAGTTGTGAGTAAGCTGTAGAAAGGGGTTTTCCCCATGCTTAAAGAATTACACATGCTCTTTCCTAGAGGAATAAACAACCTCACAGTGCTAGAAAAGCCTTCATTATACTGGGTATTTGAATGGCTTAGGGGTATTCTGATTTCATGTCTCTCATTTTCTCTTAGCAAGATTACTGTCACCACCCAGTTTTTCTGTAACCCATGCTGCCCTAAAACAGAGTGAAGGGAATTGGCTTTTGTGGCCCTGAATAGGAAGGATGCTTTAGTTTTATAAAGTTTCAGTTTATTCATATATGAAACTAAAGCATTGAATTCCATTATTTCCTTGATTTCTCCTAGCGTTCAAACTTGGTTTTTCTAATCTTACAGATTTTTGTTCTGCTTTCTCTCTCAGGGAACAGGCTATCATTTCACAGAAAGATGATGCTTTCTGTTCCCGTAAAGAATTGCAGCCTTGGAAACCCTGTTCAGGGTTACTATGGGTCGGAACCGACTCGAGGACACTTAACAACAACAACATATGTCCTGGTGTTAAAACAGCTTCTCCAAGGGAGAAAGATGAGGCTAGCTGTACCTGTAAAGGTTTACAATCTCAGAAACCCTATATAGGGTTGCTCTAAGTCACAAAAGATGCAATGGCATTGGGTTTGGTTTAATTTTGAAAGGCTTGATGATCTCCTTCCAGTAAAATCACAGCCAAGAAAACCCGATAGAGCAAGTCTGCTCTGTAACACATGAGTAGAACAACAACAAAGAACTTGAAGTGAATAGACATTCATGATCCTCAATTGACAATTCAAATTGGTGCACAGATAGATTAAATAATCTGGCCCATTGAACTGTTATTTGTATGGTTTAGTGATGCCTTTACAATAAATTGCTTTTGTATATGTGGAAAAAGTTGGTATAGTGTCCAATATAATTTATTTTTAACCATGCAAATAATTATGTAACTACATCAGGAAATTTGTATTGATATGTATTTCTTGTTAAGTGCCCTCAAGTAGTTTCTGATTCATAGCAACCCTGTATAAGGTTTCCAGTGAGTGGCTGGTGAGTTTGAACCTCCAACCTTTTGGTTCAAACCAAGCTTTCAGTCCAGTGCTTTTCCTACACGCATCTATTTACCTTTTTTGAACAGACAAGGTTGTTACATTTTAAAAATGGAAAATCTTAATTAATCACAGTGATATAATTCTGTTGACATTTTCAGTTTGAATTAGCCTATAATATGTTACCTGTTCCAGTGATAGTTTTGAGTTGTTCTCTGGTATGAACTGAAAGAAATTGAGAGTTATTAGCCCACTAACTTTCCTTACAACGGTACCAAGTGTACTGTCTTTTGCACATCGAATTTTGTTTCATTGCAGTGAATACAATCCCCTCCATGCATTATCAGTTAACAGTATTTGCTTCTATTCACTCTGTGTTTGTTTTTGGTTTTTTTAATGTATACAAAAACACACAGGAATATATAAATGTTTAAACAACCAAAGGTCACATTCTGTAAGCCAGCCTCCTGGTCACCAGCATATAGCCTTTCTCTCTCCATGAGTCTAGAGTCCTCAGCTGCTAAATCTCTGCATGCCATCATCTCCACCTCCATCTCTGATGGCACTGTTTCTCTGGTTAGGATCCAACATTCCACTCGTACTCCTCTCTCTTCATGGTCCTCTATTCCTGGAATGTAAGATTTAACTACTCCCCTGTTTCTGTTACACAACTTCTACCTTTACAGTTGTGACTATTAATTAGTCATGATAATCAATTACTCACTATTGAATCATTTCACCAGACCCATCTAGACAAGATGAAAACTATTCAATGGGGGGATTCTACTTTCCCCTGCACAATCTGAAACAAAACTCCCTTTTGAAAACTTATAAGCCAGCCACTTTGTGCCTTTATATCCACCACTTTCAGGTTGTTGTTAGGTGCCATCCAGTCGGTACCCACTCATAGCGACCTTATGCACAGCAGAACGAAACACTGCCAGATCCTGGGCTAACCTCACCATTGTTGTCACGCTTGAGTCCATCAATGCTGCCACTTGGCCAATCCATCTCGTTGGGGGTCTTCCTCTTTTTCTCTGACCCTCAAACCTACCAAACGTGATCTCCATCTCCAGCGACTGCTCCCTCCTGACAATATGTCCGAAGTATAAGAGATGAAGTTTGGTCATCCTGGCCTCCAAGGAGCACTCTGGCTGCACTTCTTCCAACATGGATTTATTGGTTCTTTTGGCAGCCCATGGCACTTTCAATATTCTCCTCCAACACCGTAATTCAAAAGCATCAGTTCTTCTACAGTCTTCCTTATTCACCAGCTTTCGCATCCCTATGAGGTTATTGAAAATACCATGGCTTGGGTCAGGCGCTACTTAGTCCTCAAGGTGACATCTTTGCTCTTCAACACTTTAAAAAGTTCCTGTGCAGCAGATTTGCCTAATGCAATACATCGTCTGATCTCTTGACTGCTGCTTCCGCGAATGTTGATAGTTGATCCAAGAAGAATGAAGTCCTTGACAACTTCAATCTTTTCTCCATTGATAAGAATGTTGTTTATTGGTTCAGTGATGAGGATTTTTGTTTCCTTTACGTTGAGATGCAATCCATACCGAAGGCTGTGCTCTTTGATCTTCATCAGTATATGTTTCAAGTTGTCTTCACTTTCAGCAAGCAAGATTGTATCATCTGTATATCGCAGGTTGTTAACGAGTCTTCCTCCAACCCTGATGCCACATTTTTCTTCATAGAACCCAGCTTCTCATATTATTTGCTCAGCATACAGGTTGAATAAGAATGGTGAAGGAACAGAACCTTAAAGAATACCTTTCTTAATTTTAAACCATTCAGTGTTCCCATGTTATGTTCAAACAACCGCCTCTTGGTCCATGTACAGATTCCTCATGAGCACAATTAAGTGTTCCAGAATACTCATACTTCACAGAGTTGTCCATAGTTTGTCATGATCCATGCAATCGAAAGCCTTTGCGTAGTCAATAAAGCACAGGTAAACATCTTTCTGATATTCTCTGCTTTCAGCCAAGATGCATTGGACATCAGCAGTGATAACCCTCATTCCATGGCCTATTCGGAATCCGGCTTGAACCTCTGGAAGTTCCCTGTCATTGTATGCTTGACACCGTTTCTTTATTACCTTTAGTAAAACTTTACTCGCATAGGATATCAACGAGATTGACCAGTGATTTCTGCATTTCGTTGGGTCACCTCTCTTTGTAATGGACAGAGATATGGATCTCTCCAATCAGTCGGCCAGATAGCTGTCTTCCAAATTTCTTGGCAGAAATGAGTGAGTGCTTCCAGTGCTGCCTCACTTTGTTGAAAGATTTCAATTTTTATTCCATCAGTTCCTGGTGACTTTTTCTTTGCCAATTCCTTCAATGTACCTTGGACTCCTTCAGGATAATTGGCTCTTGATCATATGCTACCTCTTGAAATGGTTGAACATCAGTCATTTCCTTTTGGTACAGTG